ACCGGGAGTATCTATTAATTTGGAAAGGAGACGATCTACTAGCACAAGGATTTTTTAGAAGTCCCAGTGTAAACTGTCGGAAGCCTCGAAAACAAAAAAGAAATAAGAAATCTTACTTTAACATCGGCTGGTTTTACCAATCACGTTATACTGACTAGTCCTTCTGAAGTAAATTTTTCCGAATACATCATTAGAGTTCATAGCATCAGGCATAATATGAAGGCTGCTATAGCAATTCTTTCGGTTTATTTCTCAACCTGGTATTCCTTATCGGAAGTAAGTGTAGAATATAGATCGCCAACATAGCTAGGATCGCGGAGTACGTTGATCCCCGAGCCGACCTTTTAAATCTTGCTGCTCCAAGCAATCACATTTAGCAAAGGTAGATGCAACATCGAAACTTAACTAATCCTCAGTCACTCTACCTCTACTCTAATCTCGTCAAATCCCGCCAACGAAAGTCCAAACAAAATCTTTCTTCCCGTCCATTTGTAATTATATAAAGGTGACAAAGTTGACTAAATCTAACTGGTTTCGTGAATCTGACAAAGGAAAGTAGTTGATGTATTGAAACGATGATAAAAATCTATTCATTCCATAGATGACCTTGAAAGTATTTTATAACTAAAATCAAGTGCAACTAAATTTAAATAGCTGAGAGGAAGTGATGGACAATCTTAAGGCGTGAAATAAGACCTGCACTGTCCTCAGTAGGCTAACAGTTAAGCCAATCTCTCTTTTCTCGAAGAATTATGGCATTTTACAATCTTACTTGTTTCAGATACCACCGAAAGGAGCTCACCATCCTGAATTCAGCGTCTAAAAAGCAAAACTATATCAGGTTAGATCCCTGCACGCGTAGTAAAAAGTAAATCGTTTCATACTGCTAACCTCAAATCCTTAAAGTAATGTATAGTTCCTTACAGAAGACTAGACTCCTGCAAAGCCCTTCGAACCGAACTCGAGCCAACTATGAACAAGTTTACTGAGTTTAGGCGTTAACCAGAGTTGGTTTTCATGGGCTTTTTCCGCCAAAAATGATACGATTTTTTTGTGCAGATAAACTTGCGGGTATATCGTCGTTTATTTCAGAATTAAATATATGAACGTCCTATCTCAATATAAATCCAATATATCGGCAGCTGAGATAGGGCGATTTTGAACCATTTGTTGGGATAAGGCATGCTTCAACCAAAATCTGAAGTAAAGCGTTTTTCAACCGTTTGCTGTGCCATTGTCCTTCACACAAATTAGGATGGTTCCCAGTGCGCTTTGCCGCGATGGAGAGTTTCCTGACCTCTTTCAGGAAAGCTTTTCTTACTAGCATTGCTCTGACTAATTGGCTTTATATGTTTTTCGAAATGTTTTGTTCTTCTTTATTTCTTCAAATATTCATTCAATCACACAAACCAAATGAAATTACCGAAGTCAATTTCTTTCGTCTTTCCTCCCTCCGTAGGTGAGGGTTGCGTTGAAAAGCAACTGAATACCCTCTGGCGCAACTACACGCAAAATAATAAGCCCGACATGATCATGCGCATCAAGGTATGCGCCAGCGGTCTAAAAGCAACAACACGTCAACACGGACTCACCGAGTACTGGGCTAATCGCATCACACACTGCTGTGCGCCAAAGAACTATCCACGAATTTTCTGCTGGGTCTATCGACACGAAGGACGTAAGCTGAAACACGAGCTGCGCTGTCATGCGGTGCTCTGCAGCAAGGAGAAAGTGGTGCAGGATATTTGTCATACACTGAAGGTGAGCACTGTTGCCTCAATACATGCAAAGTTTTGTTTAATCTTCCTTTATTCGGCAGGAAAATCTGGAGCGCGCGTTGCGCGAATTTAAACGCGAGAAAATTCTCAAGCAGAATGCGCGACTCAGCCTGGCCAATGCAGCGTACGAAAACCCCAGTTTGCCACGACGCAAAATTCTGCTTAGCGTAGGCGGCAATAACTATCGACCACCGCTGGAGCGCTCCAAGTCAGCGCCTAAATTGATGGCCATTGAGGAGGCAATCGGCGAGGAAGAAGGCGAGGATGCTGAGGAGACCAATGAGCCGGAAATGAAGCCGTGCTGTCAGAAAGACTCACTCTATCCCGCCATGACACTGGGACGTCGACGCTGTCGCCGCGGCCACTCCATAAGACGCACCGGTAAGGCACGTCCGCTTTGCAGCATTTCGTTGGACGAATCACAGCAGCGCAAGCAGTTGTTGGCTAACGACGTGTGCTGTCACAACAAACTGGCCGCCACCACCAAAGAAAGTGCAAACCAACAGAGCGCTACTGCGGCGGCATGCGCCGAGTTGGCGGAGGAGCAACGTCATAGCTATGGCTCTGATGACTCCGATGACTTCGAAAAACTGCTCAAGTATAACAACTACGATTCGAGTGCTTCGTTAGCGACCGAGCTGCTGCCCTATTTCGACATGCAGCTGCACAAAAATACCAGCAGCAGTCTTAGCGATTTGTGCGCGCTGAAGGACGAGGAAGAACCACTTAGCCTACTGCCGACAATCAATAGTGATCCGATGGCGCATCCAGAGGGTGATCTAGTGCCTGAAAAGGCGGCGATCGAGGAGTCGGACGAAACGCATGTGGGCCTGCGGCGCGATGGAGTGTGCAGCGATGGCGAGGAGGATTACCTAGACGCAGATGATATGTACTTTCGACAAGCGACTATTTTGAACATTTTGCATCGCAATTCTATGCGCAAAATGGCTCAACTGTCTATGAGCAGCGACGAGAGCAGCAGCATAGAAACGAATGCATCAGCACCGCTACAATACCGCCACCAAATGCAGTCATCCATTTCCTCCACGGCATCCACGAGCACAACAAACAGCAGCTCGGTGCAAGATGGCCACAGCAGCACGACGACGGGCAAGCGACACAGCGGTGCCGATAGCGATGAGGGCTCCATCTCGAGTGGCTGTGAGACAGCCAGCACAGTGACTGCGAATCAGGATGACCTCTCGCTTCAATACCGCCACGAAAAGCAGCTACTCCAGCTGCAGCAACAGCAAGCAGCGCTGCTAGACGCAGACAATGCACAATTCTTTGAACTGCCCAGCGACGAGCAGTCGTCACACATAACGGCCGATGAAATCTACCAAAGACTAGAGGCGCGTCTACAGCGACGACAGAACAGCGATGCAACCACCTTCAGCAGCTCCAGCACAATCACGCTAAAAATGGGCAACGGCAGTGAGGGTTCGTTGCCCGACTCGACAAATGAAACAGTTCAAAATAAAGTGCGCACGCTGGAAGAGCAAATAACCAGCTTGGCGAACAACACATCACGTGTACGGCGTCAACGTCAACGTCAGCTAGCGGCAGCAGCAGCAGCAGCAGCTGCGCCACCACCACGCGATTGTGCGGCAGATGATACCGATTCGGAATGCAGCGATGAATCCGGCTACGTGGAGTATCAGGAGCGCGTAAAGACTGTGCGAGAGAAGGTGTGCGAGGTAGAGCGACGACAGCTGCGCGAACAACAGGCGCAAGCGCAGCAGCAACAGCAACAGCCGGTGGCGCAACAGCGTCTGCATAAGCCACAATTGCCACCCAAGCCGATGCCGCGTCGAACGCTGAGCGGTGGTGGTGCTGTGGTTGCTGGTAGCAACGCAATTTTGCTGACGGACAGTCCGTGTGCTGGAAACAGCACAGCGGTTTGAGGGGCGTAAAAGCTTTTAACTATCATCTATGTGTATGTAAGGGATTCATACCATCCAGTGAGAGTTGTACATACCGGCTCAGTGAGAGGAGCGCGTGTGGGTGCTTAAAGTCGCCGAGTCTATGGATGCAGTATTGCAACATCGAAACTTTTGCAAAAGCCTAGCAATGCTGTCTGGTGATTACCGATCATTTTTCGAACAAAATTTTATTTGTCTGTTTATCAAGTGCAAATTCAAATCCTTAAACAAACTCGAGAAACATTTTAATTGATTTTCAAAAGAAAAATGCTTATGTCGCTCACACGCGCTTCAGAGCTTTGTAGTTAAGTATAAACATTTATTACGAGTATACATATTTATAAAGCCACCAAACAAAGGATATATGAATTTGTTTTTATGTTAGCATTTAATTATTCCAAAAACTCATCATATACATACTACAATGAACTGTACAAAAAAAAAACAATTTATACACAATTTATAAAAAATATGCATATATATAAAATAAACAATATTTTATATAAATTATGAAAATGATTTTTATAGAAAACAATGCTATATGAAATGTTGAATTTTTTTTCGTTGCATTAAACAGAAAAGTCGATGTTAGAATACTTTTATATACATTTTATTAAAAACCAATGTGCTTTATTTTATTATATTTGTAGCCATAAGAAAAAATCTAGTGCAATTAGTGAAGGATGGAAAGAAATGTAGGCATACATACATACACACTAGAAAAGTTTAATTCCTACATAGATTTTTTTCTACAATTTTCAAAATGTTTTCCATAAAAGGAAATGTTCGTTAATTTTTTATAAAAAATAGACTTGTTCTTTAATAGAAACCTTTGACAAAATTGTAACTAATATTTAATTGGTTTATATTACACATTGAATTATACTTTTATAAAGCAAAAAAAATCTCTGTATGGAAACTCTTTCTAGTCTGCTTTTCGGAAATACTTATTATTTACTATAAATTTCTTTTGAAACTAATGAACTAGCTAGTTTCCCGAAAAAATAAATTATTTATGATGTTACCTTCAGGAATCTAAAAAATAAAAAATATAGAAGAAAAATGTTATTGTTTGATAAAAGTGATTTAATTTCAGTAGTTTGGCGGTGAAACGAAGTACATAAAAATATGGCAGTTCGGCATACATTTATCTTTTTTTTAGTTTTTGTATCTAGTGATATTAAGATTATCTCCACTTAAGAAAACAATTACGCAAAACAAAAAGTTATCTGCAGAATTTAAAATTTCACGCGTAGAATATTATTAAATAGTGGTTGTTAGCTAAAAAAAAAGTGTATTTAAATAATTTTCTTGATTAACTACAAATAAAAGTAATAGTCAAAAATATGCTTTCACAATTTTGTTTAACAGAGTCAGGGAACTTTAAATAAATAATTGCAAAAAAGAAATATATTTATGTATATTTGCATGTATGTGCATATGTATATGTATAAATAAACATACATACATACATATATATAAATAAAAAATACAAATTTCTTTCATACATGCATAGATATGTATGTATGAATAAACAGTGGTGGGCACAAAATTTAGGTGACGATTTCTTCACAAGTTTTGCCCTAATTATTTTTTTACAAAAATATTCACACTACAACGAAAGTCTTATAACTTCAAAATTCCAAACCTCGTACAATATACAATATAAAAATTTACGAATTTTTATAAATCTTTGGCAATGTTTGAAACTTTGAGTTACATGATTTTCGTAGTAGCATGAACTATATTTTCATTAAAAAACTAATAAAGAAAAATAAATAGGCAAAACTTAAAAAGAAGAGATGTCCTTAATTATTTTGCCACCACTGTATGTATGTTTTTTTCCTGATTGTTGCTGCCTCGGACAAAAAAGGGAGTATGATTTATTTTAAAAATGTATGTGTTGAAATATATGTACATATAAAAAATACATATAAAAAATTATAAAAAAAAATACCCTATCATTCATTTGTAAATATTTACATGCACTCACATACATATATACTTATGCACGTATACTTTATATATTTACGTAATACATAAATGCATTCATAAAAAAAAATTTAATATATTTTCCTTTCACACTGTAAGCTAAGCTCTAAAGTTAACAATTCGCAGCAGCCTTTAATCTATAAACTTTATGTTTTACTAATTATGTCTCTATGTCGAATTATTTACTAAATACGTAGTCATTTTTTTATGTCATGGCAACAAGCACGAAAATTAAAATATGGAATTCTAAAATTCGTCTAAACACCCGATTCTCTTTTTACATGGTTAGCCGGGCAAGTAGAAAATTCGCGCTAAAAACTGTGTATAAGGTTAGATTTTTGAACAAAATTTTTTTCGTTGTAAAAGTATCTAAACAGCTCCTTCACATTGGAATTTTGCTGGACGTTCTACTTTAGGGTTAAGACACAAATTTTGAACAAAGCATAAGAGTACATATTGAACTGTTTAAAAGTGGTAGAACCATGTAAAAAGAGGATCAGATATATGTATATATATGTACATACATACATCTATGTATAGGCATTTAAAACCATTAACTATTGTATAAAGGAAACTAAACTGCTGCATAAATATATATGTCTGTATATACGCATGAAAATCCTAACCTCAAAAAAATCACCCGTTATGTATGTAAGCATGTAGATACACCCGTATATATTTTGGATTAATGTACATATATATGTATATCTAGTATATAAGCACAAAGATAAGCACATTATATACTATATATGTCAATATATATTAAAACATTTTGAAGATAATAAATTAATATTTGAATTCAATCAAATGCAATTTTATGTTAATTTTTTGAAAACCCACCTAAGAAATCGAAACGAAATGACGTTTCATAAGAAACAACAATGAGCTTCTCTTTCATCGAACAAATTAAAATGGTTTGACTGATCTTGTGCGTGTCCGCTACAGGGTTGCGTGATTTAAACAAAAAAAAAAGTTTTTTTTTTATTGTGGAAAATCACGAATCAAATTGATTTGCTCGACGAGTCAAATCACAAATAAAATTTGCTCCTGATTCGATTCGTTCAATAAATAATAAATTTATGTTATTTACAAACAAAACAAAACCTACTTCAATTGTCATATAAAAATTTAAGAGTACAGCTAATTTCTTCATGATCCGACGATCGGACCTAAACCAAATTAGTATGGCACCACCTTAAGATACCACCTTTAATTACAAAAAAAAATTTTTAATCGGTTAACGTAGTCCAAAGTTATGCGGTAACATAAGTAAAAAAAATATTCCGACGAATTGACAACCTCCTCCGTTTTTTAGGGCGGTTAAAAAGTACCGAAATTAAACATCCAAATTTTCCCATTTTTATTTCCTAATGCAACCTACTACTATCAAGTGCAGCTAATTTTCCGCTATTTAATGAAATTCGATTTGCAACTTGGATTATCCTAGGAAGACCTAAATCTGAGATATGGTGAAAATCGGTCAACTATCACGCCCACCAGCCATCGGAATTCTGAATAAAAAGTAATCAATTGCTTTTTCTTAAAATTTCAGAACTTTTTCTCGACTTATTCCAATAAATTTGAGTAAAATGCCCATATGCCCCAATGTTCTAGAAATAAAAATCTGAATATTTTACTTTTATTTTTCGGTCCCTGATGATAATACCATTTCATGTTCATGAAAGGTATAAAAAGATTGCTGACCGTGGAACTTGAACCGACGACCTCGCGGCTTGCTTAAACTGCATTACTGTCGTCTGGCAAGGCAAAAATTTTGATCACATCAACTGCGCCTTTAATCCGGATTAACGTTGCCGGTCTGTCTATGCTATAAGATGAGGGCATTAGAATGAAACGTCAAATAATTAACTTGAATACATAACGGGACACACTGAGTAACGCCTATGAAGTTTCTTTAAAGCGTAGGTTTCAACATTTTTGTACTTATTAGTACATATGTACATACATAACGAATACAAATAACCGCAAAAATTTTCGTACGTACTTATTTAGCTTGCAACATTCGCTCGGTACAGCGCAACAAGTTGCCCAATGAAGCGGCGTATAAAAATGTATAGCGTCGCTTAAGCTTGCTCCCAAACCAAGAAAACCGCATTTGCTAAAAAAAAAACTAAGTAAGTAATTTGCATATCTCGTTTATTTTCATTACACTTAATTGCATTAACGGCCAACAATAAATATTGGTAATGGAAAAACAATTTTAATTTAAAGCAGATATTACTGCCAATTTTCTAATAACACTGTGCTACAGCCGAAACCAGCCCGACTTTGTTAACATAAAAAACACTCGATGGATTTACAAAAGTTAAAAGTTTTATGGAATACTAAAGTTTTCATGTCCCGGCCTAAGTAGTTTTCAAAAATGGTTAAAATAAGTGTCTGGGCGAAAGACATATATAGTAAAATTTAATGGGAAATATTTTCGTAGAACATTTTAACCCATTAGCTCCCGTCTGAAAGGCTCGTTTTGACTCTTACTTCAAGAAACCCTTACGGGCTATAAAATTAAAACCAGAAATCTATGCCAAGAAGGAATAACAGCCAAACTCAATTTAAAAAAATTAAAAAAACACAAGTTGCTTTTTTTAATTTGCTTGTAGATTTTTTTAATTTTAATATTTTTAGAGACTTACGTTGATGGCATGAAGCTTTTGCCTGAGAAGACCCCGACTAAAATTTTCCGAAGAATAATTTTCTAGAATATATCAATCCTCTAACGAACTTCCAAATTTGCTTACGGAGTTTCTTGAAGTAAGGGTCAAAACGACCCTTTCAGGCGGGAGCTAATGGGTTAAAATGTTCTACGAAAATATTTCCCATGAAATTTTACTGTGTTTTAATTTCGCTCAGACATTTATTTTAAAAATTTTTTCCACTTTTTTTTTGAAATCTACCTAGGCCGGGACATGGAAACTTCAGTAGGCCATAAAATAAAAATACGCGCTAACTTTTGCAAA